CTTAGAGGAATAAATAGATGCATTCTGAAAATATAAATACATTATATCGTATATGCGTCTATTACTGGTGTTGCTTCTTCAACTCAAACAAGTTAATTGAGCAAGACCTACCTTTTCTAAATCTATGGATGCTGCCCCTGTCAAGTGTTGTGTCAATTGCTTATAACATTCCCATGTTTCCAAAAGTACAACTGAAAGGACACCATTCAGTCCTGGAAATGTATTAATCTTAAGTGCTTAAAGTACTTTACTACAGTAAAATAAAGTATTACCCCAAAATTCTGCCTTTACTACAGTATGTTAATTCTTAAGTATAACATGAAATAAAGTATTCCCTTCATTTGAAGAGCTTTTTAGACACAACATCTGCATACAAACCTTTGCAGGAAACAGTTGCTGTATTTGGGTGTGGTAAGTACTAGGATGAGAGATGTCTTAGAAGATCTGGTGTTGTTATACTGTAAGTGGTCTTGGTGGATCAGTAGGTTGCATTTTTCCCTTAGGACCAAAATACCTAAACAAGAGCCCCAGTATGCCGACAGATAACACTGTGCTGTAGGAGGTGTCATCCTTCAGATATAATGTTAAAAAGAGGTCCCAACAACTAGAAAATTAAATGTCCCACGGCATTGTATGTAAAAGTAAGGATTGTTAATCCTGTGGTCCTAGTTCAGTTTCACTTTTGGCTTGTACAGTTTGGCCTCTTTAAAATACCCCCCTTAATTCAAGAAGTAAATTTTCACTTTTCTACCTAACCTGCTGTGTTTGGTACTGTTGGTACATAATGGCTGCTAGATGGTTCTATATGTAAAGTGCTTTGGGATCCTTTGGAATTATAAAGCACTACACAATTGAGAAAATGTTACTGAAAGGAATTTTAGACTTCTAAGCACTAGAGTCCTCTTGTGCTAGCAAGGACATTTTCCACTCTTTTGAAACTGGCTAACTGGGCCAAAGCAGGGCAACTTCCATTTCCAAGTCATTTTATGGGTGACAAAAACTGGAGCCCTGTGTGGACCAATGGCCCTCTGTGGCCTAGCCTGCATTTTTGAAAATCCTTTTAAAATCTTCTTCGAAATCAATGCAGGAATTGAATTGTATTCTAGGCTGTGCTGCAGTAACATTTCTGCCACACTACTGTAGGTCATCAGCTATTTTGTGCAATGTAGCTTGCAATGCAAATTGCTCCTGCTGTTAGTATTATAATGACCGTACAATTATGTTGTATGTAATGCCGTTCATGCGAAAATCAAGATGGCTGGCTGGCTGCCCACTTTGTTTGTAAAATTGAGAACGTCTGCATCGACCGAATTGGAACTTCTCAGATTTCATCAGCGTTCAAACCTACTTCAGACTTGCATCTTGAAGGCTGCAGTAATAGTATTGAGTCATTACATGCTTGGCAGTGTTAGAGGTGCTAGACACACTTAAGGCAAATAAATCGTCAGGGCATTATGGCATTCTATTAACAGTACTGAAAGAAACAAGATATGTTATCCATAACCTTTTAAAAATACTCTTTGTCACTGAAGACAGGGGTAATATGCACTGCCAGTGTAACAGCCATACACGTTTGACCATTAAGGGGAGATCAAATTGAAGCAAGAATTATTGATCAATATGTCTTATATTCTGTCAGTCTTATTTGTATTACACTGATGTATGCACAGGGAAATGAAAATTAAAAAATAAGATAAAGCATCATTTTCGTGACAATATGATTCTACAGGATAGTCAGTACAGATTCAGAAAATTCAGAATTCATAATTAATTTCAAGTTCTTTGAACAAATTAGTACAAGTGAAAGATCCTCATAAATGAACAACTCTCAAATTTTGCTATCTCAAATTCTGCATTTAAAACAATGGCATAGACGGTAACACCTCTTTACGCAAAGAGCTGCAGAAGAATGAAACATGCTACCCTGGCAAGAAACAGCAGAATGAGATCTCTGATCAATTCAGCACTATGTTAAGAAAGCTCCTTTATCAGTTGGGAATTCTTCAAGACAACTACACTGCTAAAAAGAGAGAAAAGAGAGGTGGTGGTCAGGGAGAAAGTCTCTCCCTTAATTTTATTAAAGTGTGTAAAATATTACAAATACAATACAGCCTGTGTTAGAGTGAATGGCATACTTCCCTAAAATAAAAAAAAAATCAATTCTCCATTAAAAAAGGAGTGCTCATGACCTTCAATTTAGTAAAAAAACCACAACAATCAAAACATAGTTTATGACCTCTATGTTATCTCTAAGTATGATTAATTTTGAAATGGCCTCCTCTGAAGACCTGGTAGTCTTACATCTGAAACTTAGAGCTATGTAATGGTGGTAACACTGAAAACCAATGCAAAAAAATCCACATATAAACAACTTTACACTAAACACAAATAGTTTACCACAGTGATTAAAAAGGCTGAAACCTCCATCTCTTGAAAATGTATTAAATCAAGAGACATACTACAGCTAAATAGCTTATCAATACATAGCTCATCATTAAAAAGGCATGCAGATTTAAAAAAAACAATGAAATAATACACTTTACAATTAAAAAATGACTTTAGAAAAGAATAACAAAGTCATATCTTCAAAAGATTTGTTGTTGCAAAAGCATTTTGTAAATTTAGATTTTCAATGTACTGTAGAAATACAGGTATAATGTAAATTTTCATGAGAAAGTGCATAGGTTCATAAATATTTGTAGCAAACAAGTGTCAAATAATGAGAAATAGAAAATGCTGAGTCTGTTACATGACCATTTCCAACTCTACCAAACACTGATTCATCTGTCAAAGCAGTTAATTGTGCAGTGTCTTATTGAAAGGCAGTGCTCAAAGCACTCTGGATCAGTGGCTGTCCCTTGACTCCAGGTCTGCTTGAAGAAACTTGAAGAAGCCACTGGTAATCCTGTTAGAGTCTAGTAAGACAAGGTCCAGTAGATAAAATGATGACTCTTACAAGAAAAATTCCAGTAACTCTGGATCTTCTGCATTGTCTGTTGTTTTTTTCTCCAAACAGTTGATAAGTTCATCAGTGCTGCAAATAGAAAAAGAGAACACGTTCAAACTCCAAAATATACAGTACATAACACAAGGAGCACTACTAAAGGGTGACTAACAGTGTAACTAGTATGTTGAGTTCTAGTGAATGGGAAATGTTAAACTGAGGACTTTTCAAAACAAAATAATCTTATAGTGAGAAACTGGATTTCAAAGTATCTGCAGTTCTGAGAGTCCCAAAGGTGAAGCTAGAACACAAGTGTAAATGATGGGGAAGTACACAGAATACCTTTGGCGGTAGAATGAAATCTTTGAATTACAGTAGCTCGAAAAGCAAATTAGCTAGTTAGCTTTCTCTTGTTTGGAACCTTTCTTATAGTTTTTTAAGAAAACATGTAATAATCTAAGGAGACGCTTCATCAGCAGAAAGCTCCAAATAAATCAAAACAAAAATTAATTAAAATCTATAATAAAGAACAGAGACCAAAGCAATTCAGCCTGCTATTGAGACAACACAGCTCATTAACAGACACACAGGGTTACATTCAGAAATTCTTAATGTCGCACAAGTCCATTTACAGACTCCTGCTTAAACATACAAGTAAAGCTGAAACCTATTTGATTTCAGATTATTAAAACTGGACTGCTCAAATGAGAGTATGTGCATCTCAGATGCCATTACATTTGTTGTCTTCAGTATATACAGTATGTCCTTAGAAAATCTACATCCCTTTACTAATATTGGTTACCAAATGACTTTTAATCAATTAGGAATGAATAGGCTGACATAAAAATGACAGAAGAAAAGCTGCTGCATAAATGTAAAACAGTATACTTTGCAAAAATATTTTTTTTTGAGAAGCCTGACAATTCTCTGAGAAACATACCATGCAGCGTACATGTTATGAAGGCCATCAGTAATCAGCATGCAAGGCAGATTGGAATTGAAGATACAAGGATCCTAAAAAAGTGCAGGGTAAATGGGTTTTGAGCGATCATGCAAAAATACAACAAGCAACCCCATGCAGAGAATGAAAGCTGAAAACAGAATCATTATCAATTCCGTTACAGTATTTCTTGTCTCCATAAGAGTCAATATAAAAGTATAAAAAATAATAATGTTTCTACTCCAGTTATGTCTCTGGCATTAAGAACAAAAATACCTACAGGTATTACTTATTACTTATTTACATTGGAAGCTTATGAAGGATACCAACTTGTATTTGAAGAAGTAGGGTAAAATAACAATATTAGTAACTACAGGGACAAAATACAAATGATGCAGAAAAATGTGAACAAATAAAACAAAATGCACTTCAGTAAATATTGTAATCTAGTGTTCATCAGAAGTGCAAAAGTAAAATGACTGAGATAATCTACTGTAAACTAAGTTTTAACATAAGATTAAAACACAGCAGTATAACAGTCTCCATGGACTTTCTTACTAATAAACATTTATTTAAATACAGACCTGATAATCACTAAGTGTGATATGAAATGGTTATAAAATAAAGTGCTCGCAGTACGTTTTAGAACAACAAGCACATACTTGCCCATGTACATTTACATACTCAAAACTAAAAGAACCTTATCTAGAATTCACAAAATAATTTTCATTCATCTGCTGTTGACTTTGATAACATATGTAGTACCATATTTTTGCAGCTCTGTACATTGGTTTGGATGCATTATACTGTATATGCCCTGTGCACAAAGGGCTGCAAGTGCCATTTTACAGGAAAACTTTATGGTACTCTAACACATCTTGCTAAATTCCATGGAAGACTGAAGATTTTTTAAATGTTAACACTATACAGGATTTTGACAACATAGCAGCACATTTATATATAGTATATGCCAATACAGTACATGCAAGCAACAAAACAACGAACCACATCAAAAGTCATATTCTATACTGCACTCACTGTCTTGCCCTTTAACTTTGTGGGGCTAATTTGGTTTGCTTTTGTGTCTGAAGATTTTCTTCCTGTTGAATTCAGTAGTAAACCTGAGGCTGGTGCTTTTACCACAGGCGCCAAATGGTAATTGTTATTGTTATTGTTCTGATTTCCACTCAGGGACTCCATTATAGATCTGAATGTTCCAAATGGTCTTTTCCACGTATCTCCTGAATCAGTGCTGGGGGGAGTTCTGGGCATAGTTTTATCCCCTTCTTTTCCTTTGATACTACTACTTTCACTTTCTGTTTGCTCAATTTGCACAACAGGTTCCTCAAAGGTTACCCTAAGTTTCAAGTTTTGAGATGTCCTCCTTTTAGATGATGGAGACTTCAGGGCACTTTTTGGGCTTGTGGTAACTTTTTGATTACTGACACTGTCAGTTCCAGACTGGGGCATTTCCCCAGTCATTCCAGCTCTTGTCAGAATTCCAGCCTGGTAGTGTGATTCGTAATCTGGGTCGCTGCCTTCTGAAGTTGGAGAGGGGCTGTGTCCGTCCACAGACTTGGAAACACTGTTGGCAAAGGCATATTTTCGTGCAGAAGCATGCTTTTTGATCATTAAGTGTAAGCTTTCAGTACATTCCACGTTTTCTACAATTGGCAGTGGTCGGGGTTTGTCTATTCTCTTGACTGGTGTGTTTTTTTGCTCTTCTGAGTGATAGGAGTCTGTGTCTGACTCACTGAGAGAACGCTGCATGATCTGTCTCAGTCTAGCCAGTTTGAGATCTCTTTTCTCTGCTGGCATCCTCCTCAGAATCTTGGGGCCTACTCCAAGACCTTCTTTCTGCCCATCCTGGAATTCCAGGGAAAGTTTCTCCTGTGTACACACATTCTCTGCAATCTCCTTTCCCAGCAGTTGTCGCAGGATCTTATCAGAATCTTCCTCCTTCTGCCTGAAGAGCCTACGGCCTGCCAGGTTGCCAATACAGCTCCTCTGAAGTGCTGACTGGGCAGGGTCCATTGATCTGTGCTCAGGAGAAAAGGGCCCTTGAGGCCTGCTTACTGCAGTGGACACAGAGGAGCTAGCAAAAAGAAGAACAAAATGAAAAGTTAAAATATAATAATATGGCATCAATATAGTATAGACAGGGCTGCAGTAGAGTAAGTGCTGCAGTAGATAAGAAAATGATCAGGAGTAGTTTGATAATTTCAAAATGTGCTTAAAAATAAAGAACGCTAGTTTGCTTTCAGAGTTTTTAAGCACACTTCCTCCCAATGTAACACTTGTTGAATTCAGGATATTCTTTAAAGGAAACACAGAGAAACATTCACTTTTTACAGTACACAAAAACAACAACGTTATCCTGTATTACTGTTCGACTTGTTCCAACAGATTCTCGCACATCAACGCTATCAACCAGTTTTCAAAACATATAGTGGACAACAGTTAAATTACAGAACTGAGCTGGGTCACAAGAGCACACCTGGGAGTGTCGGCCAATGTGCCCTCTTCCATCTGCTGTGTTTCCAGTAGTTGCTGCAGCTGAGTTTGCAAAGTGATTCTTTCAGTAGTTTGCCTGCAAGCATAAGATACCATACAGTTAGATCAACTGTACAATAGAATTTTACCATTCATAATATTTTATTATAATCATTTTGGAATTATTTTGATTGTCAGATTCTAGCTATACAGTAGATTCTCTTTCTTTAAATCCCCAATGAAAATGTGTACAGCCTCCAAATACACATTCTTCTTTCCATAACATAATAATAACAACATAATTCTTCGGCTTACTCTTTCAGCTGCTTGGTTAATTTCACAACCTGTGATGCCAGGGACATGCACGTTTCCACAACCACCAAGTACCGCGAGCATGTGGTATGGCCTTGTCGCTCAGCAACCTGAGAAGGCTTTTCTCCTTGTTGGTTCTGAATGGTGACATTGGCACCATATTCCACGAGGGTCTGTGAAAGCAGGGACAAGCTGTTAATATTGAAGATCTCAATCACACATACTGCAAGAATAACTACCAGGTTATTTACAGTAGCATCTATCCCTATATTAGATATTATATAGATACAATACAACATCAACAATATAAGAATCCTACAGATGGGATTCTAATCCTGACAGACATCATTAACATTATGAAGTTACTTAAATAATTCAAGTTAAAAAAGTCGCCTTTGAAAAGACAGTGTAAATACAGGCATCCCTCCATTTTCAAATCCCTCCAATTGGTTCTCGAATCCCAGAACAATCATACAATAATTATCAAACTTACTTTTGTGTAGTAGAAAAAAATTAAAATCACAACAGAATTAATTTTTATGTTAATTACTGACCATTAAAAATTTGATGAGTAGTTTCTCCAACTACAATAGCATACAGACATTGATACAAATAGAATATATACATTGATACAGATCAATGGAATTACACTTGTTATGGAAAAAATGCTTGTATTTCATGAAATACAGTATGTACTGTATTAATTTGGATGTGTCGTTGTAGCAAAATTTGTAATATGAACTTGATGGACAATACATGCTACACACTGAAGTGTATTTCTAAATGCTACACACTGAAGTTTATTCTAGTCTGAAATATGTACCTGAATACAGCCTAGATGTCCATGCTGAGATGCAGTATGAACTGCACTGTTTCCATAGTGGTCAACTTCATCCAATGAAATCCCTTGTTCCTGCATGAACTGCAGTAACCACAGGAGAATCTTTTCCTGAAGAGGAAGAAATGAAAAGAGTTCAGCAGGATGAGCTATTAATATGACTTTTTAACAGTTTCACTATATATTAGATTAAACTGTTATTCATTTGGCTGAGGTTTTTAGCCAATTTATATTCTTGCCTATTTATTCAGCAGAACATTTTACTAAAACAATGCAAGTGAAGCTCAGATAACAGTAACAGCAGTGCTACAGCAGTGTAAAACAGAATGTAGGGCAAAATCTTTCTTATTACGAGTCTAGAGCCCTAACGTTCCCCCAACTCTGCAAGTAAATTAAGGATTTAAGCTGTTACTGATTAATAGTGGGGACATTCCATGTGAAAGTAACATATCTCAAACACTAATAGACAGTATAATCATTTTAAACATCAATATTCTAACCATCCAAGCTTCCTTGAAGACAAGGTAATTTGTGATCAGACATTCTATGGACAAAATCTTGATATCAAGAGCTAAAAAGCATATTGTTGATCTCAAGTTACAAGGATGCCTGGATAAGTATAAAAATGATTGCTTCAGTAAACCATATCTCAGAAACTACTCGAGATATTATTGTAAACGTCTGCCTCAAGTTCATCTTCCATGGGACATTCCATGAATGTGCTGCAATTTGAGGTTGAGGCTGACATGCTAAAATTGTTTCACACAGGATGATTTAAAAACAAAACAAGTTCATGTGCTGTTTAAAATGGTCTGTTGCCTTACCTGTCCATAACACGCAGCATAGTGAATGAGGCTGGGGTGGTCTCTAGTGCAGCTCAGTTCTGCGATTGCCTCCGTTTCACTCACCATCCAGCGGACACACTCCAGACGGCCGTTCTGCAGCAAAAAATGTTACAGTCTTTCAGTATAACACAATTGAGATGCATATTAATAAGGTGGTATTATACCAAGTATTTCTTAAATGAGACACCTTATATATTAATATTAATATTTTGTCTAAAATTAATTCAAAAAGAGAATATAAATTGCATTTTGAATTTAAAAAAAAGAGTTCCTTACACCAAGGTTTGGAACAAACTACCCAGCTAAGTTGTTAAAGTCATTACGGTGGCCTCTTTCAAGAGGCAGCTGGATTCCTGCATCAATGCGCTACTAGGAATTAAATTAGATAGATGGGTCCAAAGGCTTCCTCGTATTTGTAAGCTTTCTCATGTTCTTATGTAAACAACATCACGTAATCTAGAAAGGAACAAACATACTGTATAGAAGAGGTTTAATAATTTTTTGGTATAAATCGTATCATATATTCGTTTAAAGCTTTACAAAGTAATGCACTGAGCATTTCAATTTGGCCAGCAGCCATATCACCCTGCAACTCACAACTGGCAACCCACTGAAGCTAACCAGGTGTGAGCCTGGTCAGTACCTGGATGGGAGACCTCCT